CTGCAGTGTTTACTGCTCTGACTCACTCTTTTACCCTCGTGTGAAATCATAAGACAGGATGGTTGAAGCCCGTTGATGTTTCCAGCCAGTGATCTAGCTAATTGAGGACATATTCGCAACGAGGAAAATGACTCTAAGTTAGCGTGACAGCGTGAGATACGATCATTGTTATGGCTTTTAAAGCTTGCGTCGTTTGATGTTAATAACTACGCTATCAAAATTATACGTTATTTTTTTATATATTGTAAGGTGGCAAAGGAGCAAGCGGCCACCTGAATCCATCAAAATGGCGAAGCGACTGCCCATAGGTATTCCGAATAGCGGAAGCGTTACCTACTCTTAATCGACAAAGGAGGAGACACATATAAAGAGCGGGACCCCTCCTATGCTTCTCCTGCACCGTCAAATCCGCGTTCCCTTCAACAAGGAAAAGGAAAAGGGAAAGGAAAAGTGAGTAAAGTTTGATGTATCTGTGAAGTCAGAGATGAAAACCTGTTTGATTGATCTATTTGTAGTAAAATTTTAATTAATCAGACTATGCTTAAATACATTTTTAATATTGCCATTGTGCGTTTTTACCGAGTACAGTAATTTTTATACTGTGCATAACAATTAATTATGTTTTTTTTAGTTACAACATAATATAACTATCGATTGAATAATATCCAATGCTACCCATGACTAACAAATTAGTTGCCGCAATTAAATCTGCTATTATCTAAGTTTACCCTTGACCTAAACATTCTCACGTCACTCACGAATCCTTGTTCTTCATTATTTGATGAATTTTTGATCTAATTGATGATAATTGAAAACAAGCAACTCAATGAACTACAATTCAATAGGTACGGTTTTTGTAGAACGTTGAAATGCCCTCATTGTTATTTAACCTTAGTAGGTTAAGACACAAACACTAGTTATTTTGCAATTTATTTCTATATATAGTAAATAATTAAATTAATCACATTAAATATATCTATATGGAATCAGTATATTAGGTAATATGATTAAAATACATAAAAGTTGTAAAATGCATATAATAATTGAATAACCAAGGTCGTATTGGTTCCCGCGTTCAATGACAGCGGTCATCCCAGTGCGCAAGCGCGGGCTAGTGAGCCTGAGGTCGTCATCTGCCGCAAGGTCAGCCGCTACGTGCACGCAGGACCACTTTATATCTCCTATGGATGAGCCTAGGAATCTACATAAACACGCCTTAAACTCTATAAATATTTAAGCGAATTCCAACGTGTCTCACGTCTTAAATGAAGAAAATAAACTAGGACTGACTAGGTCAATTTTGAGAACTAAAGAATTTAGTATCGTTTCCAGCGTGTTAAAAAAATATTCACTGAAAACTAAAATATATTTAAATGTTTATGATTTCTTTGTCATTTATAGAATTACTAGCTTTCGCCTGCGACTCTGTGTGGAATTAAAAAAAAAACGAAAACAAAATTGGGTAGCCTATGTGTTCTTCCAGACTCTCCTCTACGTCTATGCCAACTTCTACGAGATCTGTTCAGCCGATTAGGCTACAAACACTAATAAACATTCATCCATCTAAACTTTCACATTTATAATATTAGTAAGATTTATCTAAGTCTATAACTAAGACTGTTATTACATTCTGCCATAGTATTCGTTGTTAGACTAGTAATTGGTGGCATCGTACAATAAAAAATCGTTTAATGGATTAATAGTGCTTTGTTGTAATAGATTAATTCATGACAAATTGATTACATCTAAGTCTGCCGGCACAATACGCAAGTACACACAATGCCCCCGGCGCGGCTGTAACAAACGCGCTGACTTGTGATGAGGGTAGCGCCCCGAGCCAGTCCGAACAAATCAACTTATAACAAAACAAATAAACAAAACCCTTATTACTACACAAACAATGTAAGGAGATCACATGCTAAAATTTTGTAAAACTTTCACATATAGATAGATACATACAACACTTTATATTTATGTTAAAATAACATAGAATGTACAAAAGAGTAAGGGTCTGTCCCACCAAATTGTTAATTATCTGAAAACAATCTATTGTGTAAAATATGTGATGGAAATATCGGATTTTGTTCTCTTATCTCATTTTTAGGCTATCTGAGCCTCTATCAGTCAGTGGTGGGACAAGCCATTAGCGTGTACTATTGAATCTAAAATGGTATTATGTAACAACATTAACAATATTTCATATAAAGATTCAAATAATTTGCTTACATTTTTGCCCTTTGATTCCAATATTGGTTGATGTCCGACTTATCTCAGTGAAATAAAATTATGTCCTTTCCCAAAAGGTAATGAATAGAATATATCTGAGAGTTACTGAACAACGGTAAAAGTTTTGTGCTAGATATGGCAATGGGTAGTTCTTTCTCAAGTTTACGGTAACATAAATGTATCGTATTAAGTCATACCACACTAGGTCAGTGCAACAGCCACGCATTGCTCGGACATGCGTGAAACAAATGCAGGGAAATTATACGGCGAGATTACAGAGTGCGGTGCAAGTGATTATGTTCGGCCGAGTGGCGGGCCCCGGTCACCGGGTCACCTCGTTACATGCAACGTACGATTTGCCATTCAATCGCACTGTCTTTCGTTTCAATTAACACCTTATAGAGTCTACATATGAGACTGAAATAAACAAAAGAAATTGACAAAAAATAAAGTAAAATATATGTGTGAAAATTGAGTGAAAGCTCTTGTCTCAATTTATTAGGTACTTTATTTATGAACCAATTGATATTGTTAATGATTTGATGATGATAAGTAATAAAATAATTTGAAATTGGTATGACTCTAGAGGAATATGTTAACATTGAATATATATAATACACTAGAAAACATTCTCAATTTCAAATCTCAGTTGCGCTGATTTATTCAAATATAGATTTGACCTCCACTGTACACATAATCTAAAATTGTACTACAAGCCGCAAGATGTCGCTGCGCTATATTTAGACTTCTATAGACAGAGCTTTTCGTGTACACTTCGTTATATAATTTGAGCATCATCATTTATTGAAACTCATCACAATAAATATCAAGTATATCCTAAAAGCTACGTAACGGTTCCATGGTGTAATGGTTAGCACTCTGGACTCTGAATCCAGCGATCCGAGTTCAAATCTCGGTGGGACCTGACTTTTTTAGCAGGGGAAAGTTATTTTTTATATCCTTTTTTGTTTTAACTTTGTTTAAGTATTTGAATATGATGGAAAGGTACCCTTACCTGAACATAAAGAATGAGTAGTTTTCCACGTTCAAGACATCATCGCAATTGCGTCAGGTTCGAGGACCTCATTACGCAATTCTTCATTTAAAATGGTATGCAATTACGAGACGGATGTCGCTCCAACACGATAAATAAATAAACAATAATTGCGATAAGACGGGCCGTAGCGGTATGACTTACACGAGTCTTCTCTACATGTGACCATGTCAAGTTGAACGCCATAAAATTTTCGAAAAAAATGAAATAACAAGTAACAACACTCTCATTTATCATTAATTAAAAGGCGTTCTTTTAAAATCTTATTACGCAAATAAAAAGGAATATGGAATTTCTCACATGATAAAAAAATCCTTAAGCCGGCTACACACCTTCAGATTTAACAATATTTTAACTGGCAAATGAAATTTTCTCTACACAGATATGGTTTTAACTGTACAGTTGTACTGTTGAGTTAAAACTGAATATGAAGGGGGGTTTATAACCTAATTCTCCAGTACGCACTTGTTGTTTAATAAAAGTTTTAGACGTGAATTCTTACAAATTGCACCACGTCTAAAGATTACCTGCTGGATAATGAGTATTATTTCGTTGTACTCTGTATTTTGAGTGTACATGTTACATAAGTGGGTATCTCCATGTGCGCCGTCCCTCATTCTTGTGTATATAAAATGCGAGACGTTTTTTAATGATAGCCGCTTCCACCGTGTAATTATGCGAACGAAAAAGCACCGACCAGAGATTTTTGTCTCATCGTAATTCGGGCCGTGTCTTGTAAATAATGCTCTTAAAATATTTAGGAACACACGCGTAGGAACGGTCCAATTTGCGGTAACATACTGGTTGAATTGTTCCTACGCAATTTACAACAATTTGTAAAAGGGGAAGAGAATCTTTTTGATCATTTGGTGCATTTTTCGTGCGAATTTGTTGATGATAAAAAAGAAGTAAAAGTAAATATTTTAAACTGCGTTAATTTTCTTTAATTTGTCTAACGATTTAATATTTTTTGTGATAATTATGAGTTTTGAAGACTGTTTAATCTTCTTTGATCGCTTAATTTAATTCGTAGTCGCGCAAACTCTACTAGAAGCTAAGTCTATTAATGTAAAAAATACTCAAAGCACAACATCCAATAGGCTTGTAATCGTCGACAAGGAATCTGTATTATTCCTTTGATCGGATTTATTTCTTTATTCTACCATCGGTGCATTCCCGAAGGTTTGATTGGGTGTTTTGTGACGGGCGATTAGCGTTACTGGGGGTGCGCGGGTGGTGGGAGACGGTGGCCGGAGGGTTTGACCACCGCGACCGGCGCCGCATGCCTGGTGCCGGCTCATCGGATCGGTAATGATCGTACTAAATCGCGCTGCCATAATGATACCCAGCGCCGGTGAATTCGCACACAATAAAGAAGATTTGCATTTAATGTTACGATTGGAAGGTTCGATATGCATTACTGAATATGTAAAAAGTCTCATAAGTTTTTATTTTTGATTAATAAGATTGAAAAAATATCCAATAACATTTCAATATGTTATTGAATATTGAATGTATTGGATAATATTTAGTATGATATGCGAAGTTTATTTTAAATTGAGAACTTAAGTAAAAATACACTTGAGTTTTTGGGCAACAAAATTACCAATAGCGAAGTTAAAAATAAAAAGACTGTATGTACTCTTGTAACATGAATTTTATATGCTTAGTTATAGTTAAAGCATGGACTCTGATTAAAAAAACATCCTAATTTGAGTAGTCTGTATTACAGAGCGAGTATCGGTTCGCGGGCGGGGGCTACCCGCGCGTGCCGGTCAGCGGAGCAGGGAGAGACGCGCGGGGCGGGGGACTGTGCTCCGCGGCGCTTGTGGCTGGCGCGTTGCTGGCCGCCGTGGCCGTGCTTGCAGTCGCCGCGCTCGCCTTCTACATGGGCGCCCTCAGACCTGACAACGGGGAACGTAAGTCCTACAATTAACCTATGGTAATCCCTGCTGTTTGATCTGACTTTCCCTGCCGTGTGACCTAGTCCCAAATACGTATAGACAATTAGACAATGTGAAATAATTACTAATAAGATATCGTTGTTCTATTTACAGCAATTATGACATTCGAGGGTAACTTCCGTGTGACGCGGGGTGACGTGTACGGGGGCGTGCCCGGCAGCCCCGCGTGGAACGAGCGCGCGCGCCGCTACAGCGTGGGGCTACGGCAGGCCCTTGCCGCGCCCTCGCCCCTGCGACAGGCCTTCGTCGGTGCTATGGTCACCGGCTTCGGGGATCGGAAACTAGATGTACACTTCAGAATATACTTGGATAGAAGAAAAATACCGAGGTAAAATTTGTTTACATACTCATAACTCCCTAACTAGACCGTTAACGCTGTAATTTAAAACAATAAAATCCTGCTCGATAAATGTTAATGGTTTGAGAAGGGTTTTATTGATAAAATTTCTTTTTTTTTTTGCAGTTCTGTATCGAACATAGAAGATTCTCTAAAGAATATTATAGTTCAGGATTTGTTATCAAAACAACCTTCATTTGGTCAAATAAAAATAGATATAAATAGCATAGCGATTAAAAGAGACTTGAAACACACTTATCATTCAGAGTCCCAAGTAATGGAAGCCTTAAATGAAACTTTAGCAAGTTATCAACCTAAACAATTATCGAACCAAAACGGCAGTGATAAGACCCTCCAAAGCAGGATAGGTGTTGTCCGGAAGACTACCGTTAAGCCCAACCAATCTTCAAAGAAAAGAGATCCAGATGAACCTGATATAGATACCGAAAACATTCCAGTAGTACAAGGTTCCTTTCAAATAACAAAAACAGAAGCAGACATAACAGAGAATAAACATAGCAACCTACCACCAAAGCGTGATGAAAAACCCAGTCACAAACCACTACCGGTAAAATCAACTACAACAACTAAAGCACCTACCACAAAAGTAACAACAACACAACAACCAACTACTAAGACAACCACGGTTTCTTCTACATCTAAACTGAAGCCTTTTACTATAATGTCTAATCTAGGTATAAAAACAAGAACGTCTTCGACACAAAAACCAGAAACAAGTTTTAAAACTACTAAAAGACCTCCAACCAGATCTACGACAACATCGACAACAACTTCAACTACCACTCTACAAACTACTACGGCGAATGTTTCGCAAATATTATTCGACCTTCTAACGAATGATAATCACGACAAAGATTTACCAAAGATTGATACATTATTTACAGTACCACATGTCATTGACAATGAACCTTGGCGTCCGATCACAAGACCATATTACGAAACAACAACAAGTAAACATACGACTCAAGGTACAGAAACTGTAACTGAACCTACTGCGAAAGATCGAATTGGAGTAGCCGAAGTTGTTGAAGATATTTCAATGCTAGAAAGCATGTTAACTCCGAATCCACCGACACATTACACAGAGAAAACAACTAGAAGACCATCTGGTTTATACAATATTGATCCAAATTTAGCGGCAGACATTTATGTCCCTAGCCCAGTCTATACTAGTTTTACTTTACCGAAGTTTGCACCACCACTAAAAGATTTGGAAACGCTCGGATCAATGTACCCTAAACCTTTTCCTTTGCCTGTAGACAAAATTAGTGACGTTAAACAGAATATGAAAGAAACGAATTTAGACGATGCCGATGATGGGAAACCAATAATGCGACCACCTAAAGAGAAAACGACTTCTACGATGATAAATGTTTTACGACCGGGCCCGCAAGATAGTACAGAAAGCAATAGTACAGAAAGAGTTTCGATTGACGGTACATCAATATTAAAGAAGAATAATATAACGACCTCCAGCAGCACTTCTACTACTTCTACGACTACCTCTACTGTACCAACTTCGACAGTAACCTCTACAACGAGTGCTAAATCTCAAATTACTACTGTTAATGCGACGATTTCGACAGATAAGCACATTACTAAAGAAAATACTACTCGTCGTCCTAACGATAAAGTTTCAATTATTCCAACAACAGATGTTCCATATCATACTTGGGAGTTAGTAAATACATCTACAAACGAAAATGATACTTTTTCTAAAAATTCTCCAGAAAAATTTTACAACGATACTTTACAAGCGATTATAACAAGAAATGATGCTACTTTCCCCAACACAACACCGAAATTCCCAAGTAAGATTTCAGTATTAAGAAATTTAACAGACCTTATCAAGAAATATACACAAAGCACAAAGAAACCAGTAACTACATTGCCTACATCGTCAACTCCGGTAATTGATAAAGTAGTTGTTGACGATAGTGATGATAACGAACCTATTGAAATTAGGGGATCAGTTGAGGTAATTCCTGAGGAAGAGATTGAGAGTACTACAGCAAGAGTGATAACTTTAATGCCTGTTAAATCAAATTTAGGCGTAAATAGACCTTTAAGACCTAGACCAAAGATAAAAAATGAACCACCAGTTGTGAAAGAAAACTTGCGTAGTTTTTTTAATAATGCAGTTCAAGCACAAAAACTAATTGAAGAATTAAATACAGAGAATTACATACCTGCTTTTAATCAAACAAGCGTCGATGATGACAGCTTAGAAATAACAACTTCTGCAGATAATGATGCATACGAAACAGTCAACCATGAAGTGATCGCAAGTATGCCTGATCACATAAATAATGGTGCCCACGTCCCAGTTACTAGTAATAGATTTCCTAAATCTAGTAGTGATTTACTGCCATCAACTCTAAGTGATGAATATTTTTCTCCGGACAAGTTTTACAGTAGCGATAAAACTATTCCTGAGGGAACATACAGAGTGTCGTATCACGTAACCGGAAGTGTCAGCAGTAAGCAAGCAAACAAAACCCAAAACCTACCAGCGTATGAGCTGGCTCTAGAACCTGATGTCGTTTTAGAAATCCCTATAAATCAATCAAACACCCTAACATTTGATAAATTGAAACAATTAGCAAGTCTAGCTACAATTACGGATTACAGTAACAGCAGTTTATTTCGTCGTCCCGGAAGTGTGATATCCACTAAAGCCATACCCTCAAGTTATACACTTAATCAAGCCGGATTTAAAATATTGACGAAAACCTACCATAAAACACAACCTTCAAAACAAGAGGATAATAGTTTTAATATACCAGAAAAAACGCACAGCAAACCATTCAAGCCACAGAAGGAAAAAGAAGTACTAAATGCTGTTGAAGAAGAAGGTAAACAAAACTTTAAACAAATTTTTCAAATAAATTTTAATTGAATTTACGATCTGCAAATTTTCTTTACTGTTTTAAAGATTGCAGTAATACCACATCATTTCGTTGTGCAAGTGGTCTTTGCTTGCCGAACACGTCCAGATGCAATCGCCTCATGGATTGCCCGGGCGGGGAAGACGAGCGAGCTTGTTCCTGCGCCGACTATTTGCGCGCAGATTTTGCTCAAGCAAAGATCTGTGACGGGGTAGTAGACTGCTGGGATTACTCGGATGAAAATAAATGTGGTAAGATTTCATTATTATTAAACCCTTGAAAAGGAAATTCAGGTTTTAAAGATTTTTTACATTACTATCTTTACAGAGTGGTGTAACGAAAACCAATATGTTTGCTCCAATGCACGACAGTGTATTGATATGTCGCGAGTTTGTGATGGAACACCAGACTGCCCTCTCGGTGATGATGAAAAAACTTGCGTAGCTCTATCCGATGAAATAGAAAATAATGAAGTTGTACCATATAATGAAGAAGGTAAAGATTTATCACTTTGAGAACATGTAAGATATTAGTTATGTTACTAATAATTCGTGATATATTGTATTATAATAAGAAACTTGTTCCAGGGTTCGTGATGGTACGAAAACGTGGTGAATGGGGTCGCTTGTGTGTGGAGAACTTTGCGGATGTTGTAGCTGAAGCTCATAGTTCCTTGCAACTACCAGATCTTGGTAGAGCAATATGTCGCGCCATGACTTTCGGGTAAGGTGTTATAATGTGACCACACAAATACAAATGACATAAAAATTTTCTTTGGCTTTTTTCTAAATAACGTTCACGCAGTCACTTGGTATTTCATTCCCGGTTGTTGACTCTAGTGGTTCGAGATGGTCGCGTGAAGCGCGTGAGGGTCGCGGCATCAGTACCGCGGGGTACTGGGAGGTGTGGCACAACGCGGCGGCGCGCGCTGCCGACACCAGGCTGACGTTCCGGCGCGCCGAGTGCCCGCGACGCCGCGCGCTGCGCGTGCGCTGCCAGGACCTCGCTTGTGGCGTTAGGCCCCATGCTGACGTGCAACAACCTAGGTATATAGCAATAAACATTAACATAAAAAAAGTAAGAAGGAATGCCTGCAGCAGTGCAATGAAATGACAGGTCGCAGCTTGACTCAATTCAATCTGTAATAGTTGTTAAATTTAACTTCGCGGATATTAAAACTGATATCGGGTGTATGGTGTACGGTGTACGTGAGGCGTGGTGTGTTGGGTAGGCGTGTAACTGACGAGCGCGTGCGGTGGGGCAGGGTGGTGGGCGGCGGCGGCGCGGCGGCGGGCGCCTGGCCCTGGCAAGCGGCGCTATACCGGGACGGCGACTTCCAGTGCGGAGCCACGCTCATCGCCGACCAGTGGCTGCTCTCCGCCAGCCATTGCTTCTACCAGTAAGTACCACCTGTTTAATCGACTAAGTCTTAACTCTAACTTCTAACTTTTTTGTGATACCCTAGTAGTAAGCATTAATATTTTCATTACTATTTCTTTTTCATAGAGCAACGGAAGCGCACTGGGTGGCGCGACTGGGAGCTCTGAGACGCGGGGCGTGGCCGCGCGGGCCGTGGGAGCGCGTGGCGCGCGTGCGCCAGCTGGTGCTGCACCCGCGGTACGCAGCCCGCGGTTTCCGCAACGACATCGCGCTACTGCGCGTGGACCGGCTGCAGCTGCACGCGCGCCTGCGCCCCGCCTGCCTGCCGCCGCTGCGCGCGCCCCCGCCCGCCGGCACGCACTGCAGCGTCGTCGGTTGGGGACAGCTGTACGAACATGAGCGGGTCTTTCGTAAGTCATACTAAACTCTTCATTCTAACTGCAAGTTGTAGGAGCCTGTGATAGTTAAAACTAATTGTTATTTGTTTGTTAGCGGACACGCTGCAAGAAGTGGAGTTGCCGGTGATATCGACGGCGGAGTGTCGGCGGCGCACGCGTCTGCTGCCGCTCTACCGCGTCACTGAAGACATGTTCTGCGCGGGCTACGAGCGCGGCGGCCGCGACGCCTGTCTCGGAGACTCCGGCGGACCTCTCATGTGCCAGGTACACTACCACACCATTGCCAAAGGAAGTCGTGATTTTACTGCAAATTTTTTTAGTTAAGAGAGTATCTAAGGTTTATCTAAATATTGTAGGAGGATGGCAAATGGTACATTTACGGCGTGACGAGCAACGGGTACGGATGTGCGCGCGCGAATCGCCCCGGCGTCTACACCAAAGTCTCTAATTACATCGAGTGGATCGACAGCGTTATAGAAAAGTACACGCCGCGCAACAAGAACGACACATACAACGAAGACGACGATAATAAATCAAACGAAGACTTCTATGCCGACTTGGAGACAGCAGAGAACAGAAGGCGCGCGTACTTCGATACGTGTAAAGGTTTTAGATGTCCACTAGGGGAATGTCTGCCTACATCCAGTGTATGCAACGGCTTTCTAGAATGTTCCGATGGTAGCGACGAATCCAATTGCCACGAAGCTGCACTTAACAGTTCTAGTATCGACCCTGATTGATTGTGGAAGAAAAGCGACTCTTTGTCATTTTTAGTATAGTCGATGTAAAGAGCAAGTTGTAATGTATAAGCCAGTACTTAAATGTAGAATATTTTCATTGATTTCGACTGATTTGCATTGTAAGTAGCGTTAAGTTATATTCCGACTAAAGCTACAGTCTCTGATCACTTATCTTCCAAGTAGTAAAAGTCTAAAAAACCACTTAAGCCATACAAAATGTGGGCATTGTATATATAGTTTGTAAATTAGCCCAGAATCTTTATATTTTACTGTTAAAAGCCTATTTAAAACCTATTTATTGCATTACATGGATAACCTTTTCCGTTTGAGCGATTCCCATTCAAATGGACGACGTCATCCATGAACTAAATAAAATGATTCTTTTAAGACATTGTTTTATTTACCAGGAAAAGGATATTAAATAAAAAAACATAAATCTTAAAAATTATTTTAATCTCTCCACAAATAAATTAAAAAATATAAACTTCAAATAAGAATGGCGTAATAAATAATGTCACATTGTTACATTAATAAAATTGTTACGAAAACTGATTACTATATAAATAGCGTAATAACTTCGACGTAATATGGATTTTAGATGAAAACAGACTCGGTTCCAGTAATTTAACTTACACAATCACAATGAGACAATACATAAAGTAATTAATACTAGAGTACGCCCAAATACGGTTACGTTTATCGGGGTTATATTTCACTTTAGTTACAGCCAATAATATAGAAAATGCAGAGTTTTATATCAAACTCATGACGTCACACTCTTAAGCTAACCTTAACATACCGAGCGGTATCGCACACTAAGTTTCGGAGGTCTAGCACGAAAATTTACAACAAATTACTTCGACAAGAAATTGTATGTTTATCAGTACTTTACTGTAGCACAAAACTGATACAAATGTCGATTATTTTGTCACAAATTTTCGTGCTATAACAAAACTAAACAGCGACAGATGACAAGACAAATACAGAGGTGATGTTCTGTCTACATTGAGAAACATTTACAGAAACATGTTTTATTATTTTGCATAGTATGAAGTAATTCAGTAGTTTCTTCACAATGTATGTTAGTAGATGTATTATTTCATAGAGTGCGAGGAACATTAAATATAAGGGCGAGTAAATACTTGAATTACAGTTATGTCTACGTCATTATTTATATCTTAAACGCTAATGATCGAGCGAAGTGAGCAACAAACGAATTAAAAGGACTGAATCGTTTCACATCCGGAAACTTATTTTATAATTAATGTTATTTTGTGCTTTATGTGAACAAACAACGTCAAGACAAGATTACGCAAATTATTTTTAAAAATCACAAAATGTAGTTAAGAATAGTGAAAAAGGTTAGATAATTGAAATTTACGAATTTTTTTTTAATGCTAATCTGCTGAGAAATGTAGAAATGTGGTCATAGTATTCGAAATTAACTATTTATGTACTTATTTCGAGGCCTTATGACAATTTGCGTAATCTCTGTTCATATTGAGTGTACAATTTATTGAAATACGTTTAAATAACGTTGTTTGAAGTGCGGCGGATCGAGTTAGGTAAATTTAATCAGACCGTTGTATAATGGTGTTCCTATGTGTGTTCCGGGTGTGGGGCTCAGTGCGGGCATACCCCGTGGGGGATTAACCCTTGTTCTCGACCGGCGTGGTGGTGAGGCCGGTCGGCGGCTTGTTCAACACCGTCTTGAACTGCTCCGGGATCGGGTGCTCCGACTGAAAATATAGCATAATAATTAATTGCATATAGATTTTATAGAAAAAAATATTAGATTTTTGTTAATTTCCTTATATTTTCTTTATCCATTTCAAATAAGCTTAAGGTTTGTGCTAGTCCACGACATTCGAACGGGGGGATTCGAACCCTCGACCGCAAGATCGGTAGACCGTACCCCAAACTAATATTGGCGCCTATTGGCGGCTATTGGCGCCAATTAACAAACTATAAAACGTTGATATGTTAGTAAACAGCTGTCAAAAAACCTTAAATGGAAAGCTGTGGTAAAAAGGGTTTTAGATTTCAAGGGACTAGATCATTTATGTTACTTACATAATCGCCATTAGCTTTGGGCACGAGAACGTTCATCTCCGAGGACTTGGAGCTGACGATCTCAACCTCGAGGGAATCCTGCGACAGGTAGATCTGACAGCCGTCCGTTTTGTCGATGGAGATAGTCGGCACCTTGCCCAGCACCTGCAGCAACAAACATAACAATATAAAATATATACATTACAGTTAACATTTTTTTTATTCTTTAAAGAATAAAAAATATATACTTGCATTCACGCACGTCTGTATAAATGATACATTTCCCTAATAAAGTTTACTACTTAAGTTACATAATAATAACCAAATGCCAATTAACACTGACAAATACGCGAAGATTAAATAAACACAAAAGCATTTGTCTTCAAATGTATTAAAATACGTTGAAATAAATAATTTAGCAAACATAGTTCTATCTTAGATCACCCCAATTAAATACAGTCGCAATATTTTGTTTAAAATAAAATTCAATACCATCTTACCGAACGAATCTGCCATAAAAAAAGAAACATTTAAAGAAGGAACAGTCAACAATGTCAATCAAAAGTCTTTGACGTTTTATAAAATCTTTATACTGCGAAATTTATTTACAAACATGTGAATTTTATTGAGTTTAGATGTTCGCTTTATTTGTGAAGTTAGCGGTTGTGTTAGCGTTGCTTTATTTACAGAACATATTGACGGTGGACAACAGCTCGGCGGAGGAGGACGACGAGAGGGCCCTCTGGCTATGGGAGACGGTCAAGTACATGGAAACCGTCATAGACGAATACGGCGGCTCCTTTAGGACGCAATTCATTACCGGCTTTAATATTCTTTACACAAACTTAACGCTTGTCAATGTGGTTAGTTCATTTTTATACACGCGACGAGTGTCTTTTAAAATTTCATTTTTGTGAGAGCTTTAAAGTAATTTCCCAAGCTGCGCTTAATTATATAAATTTACAAGATAATATTTTGTTCAAGAAAATCGTAACTCAAAAATAGATCACTCGAACACAGAAAAATATCTTGTCAAACTTCTACTATTTATTCAAGTTCTTTGAAGTTAAATTTAATTCAGCGGTGCTCAGCGTCCGTACGATTTTCAATGACTCTTTTAAACTATAAATGGATGAGTAAATACAGAAATACATTTTGTATTCCATTTGCAGGTCATTTTTATTTTCAAATACGTACCGACATCGTTGTTTATGTATAGATATATGAAGAATTATTATCTATCGAAAAGGGAGCATCTTCAACGAAAGCAACAAGAGTTTGAAGACATAAAACTACAGGTAAAATTTAAAAATCCACTGGAACATATTTTACTTCTTACTAATATTATCAATGCGAGGTTTAGACGGATGAATGGATATTTGTTAGTTTGTAGCCTAAACGGATAACGGATCTCGATGAAATTTTGCCTAGGCGTAGACGATAATCTGAAGGATCACATAGGTTACTTACTTTTGTTTTATTTACAGCACGCGGGCGAATGCTCGTAAGAAATACATTTACAAAAATCTTAAAGCATATTAAAATGTGTTTCTAATCCTGTCGAAAAGCAGTTTACGTGTTTTTGTGTAGGTGAAGGTAGCGACAACGAAGCTGAGCGTGCGAGAGGCGGAGCACAAGGAGCGATCAGAGGAGCTGCGGCGCGGGCTGCAGCGACTCCGCGGGGTACGCGCGCGCGTGCGGCAAGCGCTCGCCGACGACGACGACCTGCGCCGCGCTGCAGAGTCCAACGCACTCGCGGCAGACATTGATGCACAACACGCGCAAAATAACTCCGAACAAGGTCCTTTTCTTATTATAGTCTGAGAGTTTTAACGAAAGCATCCATAAAGAAAGCACAAAAAGGTTTTTCTGAAAGGAAAGAGGTGGAACATGAACAACTCATATGTTTCAGATTATTATGAGAAACATTATAACTTTTGCTAATTGAACATCATCTTCCAGAACAAAAAATTCTAATCGAATTAATGAAAGACTTAAAGATCGAACGCACAAAGTTGTCTGAAGTGGAATCGGAGAACACGTACGGGGAATATGGGGAGTACGGAGAGTACGGGGAGTATATGCCTGCCGAGCCCTCCAGCCCCGAAGCAAGCATTTATTCATCTGCCAGTGAGAGTCAGAAGGAATGTCAAGTCAAAATAGTCAAAGTCACCAACGTCTACAAAGTATCATATCTTAGGCATTTTATCAAACAAAAAAGACTCAGAAGAGCTTCGAAGCAAGCGCTTTTAAAAAGAAAGGTTTGAAATTATTTTATACGCTATAATTTTCCTATTTTGATACATATACCAATCTGATTGAACATAAACCTGTTCTTTTCAGATGGAAGACATAAAAAAATTACTAGAAGACTGGCAGAAGACGTTGAACATGGTGATCAACAGCAAACTGGCGATAGTGGACATAGACACGAACCACATGGAGCTGGCGTCGCAGGAGGCGATGGGCGACTTTAGCAAGCCGCCGCTGCGCGACTCCTCCGACACTGACAGCGACATCAGCTGGTACCCCAACGCCTTCCGCAACTCACCCTATTGTTTTCAGGTAAAATACCTCTACTGTGTAATAACTATCCTTCATAACAGCAACACCTGCTATTTGTTGCCAATTAGAAGAAAACATAAGTTTTAATAAACTACAATACGGCGTTCAATTCACGCCTTGTTCGCGAATAGTTAATCAAGACCCGGTGTAAATAGAGACCTGTGATCGAACTTTATGACATAAACGCGATCCTAAACAACCATCGAACGATTTGATTGTCAATAAGACGCTAGTTAACCATTGTTGTGATGTTATCGATCGTTTGTCAGGAATCAGCGGACATGGACATGTCTCGCGAGTACTACGAGCCGGGCGAGGGCGAGGTTGCGCTGCAGACTGGGCTGCAAGCAGGGTTGCAGTCTGGGCTGCAGACGGGGCTGGATTGCGAGTGGGGCCGGCCACGGCTCGCCAACAACCTATTCGTGGTGACGGAGGAAACCAGCAGTCAGCTCGCCATACAAGAGGTGAAGAGCGAGGCGGGCGATGACTGGGATTGCAACGATATCGCCTCCTTGTGACCTTATTATAATATAATTTACTCTCAAATAGTAAGCATTTTGATACTGTACTAGGTATCTTTAAATAAAAATACTTTTTCTTGTCATTTCAATTTAATTACCTCTTCGCTTGTTCCCAAATTGAAAAGCGGACAGACTATTCAAATGTAATGCGATAGTCGGGAGGACGATGAATGATAATAAGTAGCGATTCCAAAAAAAGAGAACATTTTATCTGATGGCTGCAGGATATTGTGTTATAAAATATATGACGCAATAATTGTGACGTAGCACAAAACTCGCGAGAGCCTTGTAGCACAAAGCGCTCAATATTCCTTGCGTATCTTTATGCAGCGTTTTAAAAATATCCCAGTACAAACATAATCTAAGTGAACCAACACAATCTCAAACATATTTAAGCTTCAAAGTGTTTCGTGAAAATATGTTCGCTTGAAATACGTCGCCTTCGTATTACTCATTTTTATAACATGTTTCATGGGCCCATAACATAATAGACTTTAAATAAATTAAATTTAAAATAGTTTTTAATTTACAACTATTGTATAATCTACTATTATAAATTCATAAATTACATTTAATTACGTGTAGTTAATTATTTAACTGTTAATTAATTTCAAATGATAATTAGGCTCGTTATAAAATGGAACGTGACTGGTAAACCCTAGCGAGTTGACAAATCTACTTTGAGGCCATTTAGCCTAAAATTACGTCACAAATTATCATAATTACAAAATAATTTTAGCATAGTTTCCTTTTAACACTAAATACAAAATATTAAAAAAGTGCAATCCGATGACTAGACGAGGTCCACATCTACAAACTTTCACCACAATTAAGCCCTTGAAAGCAGTCTCCTTGTGTTGCAAAAACACTAAACTTTATTTCCTCCATTGTACCTTTTTCTTCATGTTTCTTATCGCTAATATACATAAAGTAAGGAACAATAGGACAGATATGCTTAGTACTGACCTGCATCTGCACCGACTGGCAGTTGACGAATTCAACACTAGAGACGAGGTTGTCGAAGACGACAGCACACTTGGTGCAGGAGTCCAACACGACGCCGTTGATCTTGCCGCGCACAGTGAGAGCAGAGTCGCGGCAGCGGTACATATACACCACATTGTTCATATCCGCATTCTCTACCACCAAGTTGGAGTTGCCCTTCTGGTATTCCTAGTAAAGAATATATAAATTAATAACCCTGTCTTCCTAATATTATAAATGCGGTGGCATATTCATCCGTTTGTTAAAGTTTGTAGTCTAAACAGCTGAACGCATCTAGATGAATTGAATTTGGCACAGACGTAGAGGATAGTCTTAAACACATATGTTATACACTTTAGTTTTTTTTTCCACGCGGAAGAAGTCGCGGGAGAAAGCTTAACGTTTTATCGTTTATACTATTATACATACAAAACAAATTTATAGATAGGGATGGCTTCTTCATCCAGTGCTAAGTGCTTCCATTGAAAGACCAACTTGAATTAATAAATTTCCGATAGATTAATAGATTATAATAAATGGTTATATGAGTATCGATAAACGGCTTAAATATACTTAAAGTAGCTTTTATAAACTACGTAAATTGTTTACCGTTGCAACTAATGAGATTATAAGCTACATTGTAAAGCAATTGATATAAAAGACTTTGAAGTTTTAAATGAATTAAACCGAGGCATCGCGCGTGCCAACTAATGAATATCTCATTATAGTTACCAAATGAATTAGCAATGTCTATAGCATCGTATTAATTGAGGTTAATTAGCGTCGGTGCTACATCGTAAATAATTGAAACGTCATGAATTCCCAGCGAGGTATTCGACTGCCGCGCCTACCTCTATTGGCTTTCCAAATTAAAATTGCAATTCAAATTAACGAGTGTTTTGAATACACTAGTAGCTTCAATTTTGCCATAAGTAAAACTTTGAAAAAGATAATTACACAACAAAAGTTTAGATGGATGGATGTTTGTTAGAGTTTGTGGCCTAAACCGCTTAAAGCATCTCGATGTAATTTGGTACAGATGTAGAGGGTAGTCGGGAAGAACACATAGATTACTTTTTTTTAATTCCACGCGGACGGAGACGTGGGCAAAAGCCTGTTACATTATAAAAATAACTTTAGTTAATAAAATATATGTCAAACCTAATAAAAACACTAGAGTAACTGAAGTTGCAGGTAACGAACACGTACGATCCCCTGGGAGAGGATCACGACTTTATATTACCCTCGTAAAATAGTCTCATATTGCTTCACTTTCTATAAATCAATAGTCCTGAAGCCAAAGTATTGGTAATAAATCACGTCACTATATAAACTTTAGTATGGTTTTAAAATTTCAATTTACTGTGAAAATAAAAAAATAGGCTAACTGGTAAAAACTCTTTGATAAAAGTACGCTATATCTCAAAGAGCAGATTGTACCTAATTGCCACTTAGCGCATTCTTTATCAGTTATTCTCTTTGTTCAACTCATTTCTTACTTATCTTGTAGACTTATACACTTTAAATAAGTTGTATAATTATAGTCCTTATTACGTTGAAAGAAAGATCATATTCCAATTAAATCTGATATCGTAAAGATATTCGCAGTCTATTGTCATACTTTCTTCTAGTCCTTCAATATTTAACTTATCGTGTATTCAATTACAAGACATTTTACTTTGATTTTTCTATCGTTTATATTGGTACAGTTCTAGTTAAAATCTACATTGGAAATTACACATTTAAATAATCTAGAATAAATAGATTTTTACTTTGTGTTTTTCCATTTTCACTACACTCCTACGATGTTATATTAGATACGTAACAAAGGACAAAGGAGAAAAGTATATATATTTAATTTTTAACAGTACAAATAGCGCGTTGTTACTTATTAAATCTCACTCGTAACAAACATATCAAGCAGAACATATTTCTTACATTATATACCTACAAATAAGACCAGAGACTCGTTAATACATAACGTTCCAACTTCCATTATTAATGGTTTTGTTTTTCTAAACACGAGCAGTGGTCAAAATCTTATTTGAACAAACTGTACATACAAAAGTAAACAAAAGGGCAACAATTAAAGGACTTTGTTTACAAGTTAGAGACGTGTTCCCCTTATATCGTGCTCTTATAACTTTAGACAGTTTATAAAGTCCCGAACAAACATAAATTTCGCAGTGCCTCGAAAATAACAGTAATTATATGGGAATGTAGATTTAAGTGACTAATTTATGCAACATTTTCCAAGTTGCTAAGTTTATATTATGAGAAAGTTAAACAAAATTGCCTTTTACATATTGATTTTTAAGTACATACGTTTAATTACAGTCAGATAATAGTGTATCTACATTTTGTCACATTATTTTCATTTTTCAACGCATATGAAGTATTGACCCTTATATTGCAAAAGTTTTATTTACAGTATACCGCAACGGTTAAGCAACCTTCATTAAATTTTATGCGGGCATCCGAGAGAATTGGTCGCATTAGGGCGCAGTACAAACGATAGTCCCTTTTGTTGAGGAATATCAGAGACATAATCCACAGTCGCCACAAGACAGGAATACCGGGGAATTAGAAAAAGACAAAAAAACATAGAAAACGATACATTAAAAAACCGAGATCCTTTTTAATCAGGAAGCGCGAATTAAAAAAAAAAAACTTAATCAATAGTCCATGTGTTCTTCCAGATTATATTCTACAGCTATATCAAATTTCATAAAGATTACTAGCTTTCGCCCGCGACTCCGTCCGCGTGGAATTAAAAGAAAACATAAGGGAGTAGCCTACGTATTCTTCCAGACTATCCTCTACATCTATGCCAAATTTCATCGAAATCCGTTCAGCCGTTTAGGCTACAAACATCTATCCATCCCTCATCCATCCATCCATCTAAACTTTCACATTTATAATATTAGTATGAAGTATGATTTGAACTGTTAGAAGATACCTTCTTACAATATTCATCCATATAAACTTTAATAAGTCCCTCTATTTGTGGTTCGTTAGTTTGTAAATGCAATGTTATTCGTTTAATAATTCAGAAAGCCTCCCTGAAAGGCCACTCGCAGTAGTGAGTGCTTCAATAACTGGCAAATTAAATTGGCACCGAGTGCCGACTGTATGCCAAAGCCCCTGCCCGTATGTACACTAATATTTGCGGGAAATGATAAAAGATTGAAATACGTAGAACATCACAAAGTTACGAGGGATGAATTTAATTTATTTCTTTGGCATAAACTTTGGTAAAATTCCTTGTTATTTTCACGCAAATACATTCATCAGTTACGTGTTTGCTTTTTTCCACATTTTTTTGGATTAAAAGTTAATAATAAATCTATCAGTCTACCAGATAATAAAATAGTATAAAAGACTTATTCGAAAAGACTTATCATCTACTAAAGACCTTTTATTTCAATAATGCATATGAACTTTCACGTAAGGTCGAGAGTAAAAGGTTCATGTGGAGGCTTTATAATTTATCACTGACAGCGTACGTTCTATATAAATTTACACTTCAGTACTATAAAACAAGTTCTCAAAAAACTTCTTGAATTTCTATCAAAGAAAGTCGCAAATCGAGGTTAGTAATATCATTGGATCACCGAAGACCATGACATGCAAATGTCCTGCCAACATTTATGTGCGTACAGTACACAGTATAAGGAAGAAAAAACTAGTCTTTTGTTCATTTTCTTCTATAATATTGTAGATAGTCAGTCATCTAGGTCCTGTGAATGTGTAGAAGGGCAGTTTACTTACAATGAGCCACTTCTTGCCGTCGCGTGTGAAGACGGGCGGCTTGTCCAGCTGGCCGGCGCCGGGCTGCGGCAGCGGCTTGGCGGGGGCTGGGGCGGGGGCGGGGGCGGAGTGCGCCGCCTTGAAGGGCGCCGGCCCCTGGCGCAGGGTAGGGTTCTTGTGTGTTTGCATGTCCGCTGTCACCTTGCGCAGGTCTAAGGACAATAGGTATCGCGGATTTTACCTTTTTCCTCTTTTAAATACATCAATTAAATGCCAATGAATTAAAATAATATTTAATTTCCTATCAAATGAAGCTGAAAATACTACAGTCTAATCGAAAGCAGCAATTAGCAACGAATAAATTATGATTTAGAAAGCTGGCTGTTGTAAATTTAAACATGCTATTAATTTTTATGAAATGTTTTTGTATAAATTACAAGAAAATAACGTCCTATCACATTTCACATTTATACGAGGAATGCAAAGATTTATTGATAGCACATAATCAAGTAATAGCGGTTGCAATGCAGTTTATAGCGACGATTTAGTTAACGGTTTTCGCGGCTGGATCGTGGCTCGAGCACCGTTACATCCACACGTTAACCTCCACTTACATCACTATAAATAGAATATACACTGTTTAATGTTTAATGTAATTTGAACGGAATAGCATAAAAAAAGCTCTTTTACTGAATTTTCCTTGAACTTAAACCTGTAAAGTGTGAAAAGTGTCAACTTACTACTGGTGATGCCCTCTCCCTGGTTGATCTCAGCGAAGAGAGCACTGCGGTCGTCGACGCTGAGGTTGGCGAAGTCTGCCTCGGGCAGCACGGGCGGCGGCGGGGGCAGGCCGCCGGGCGGGGGCGGGGGCGGGGCACCGGCACCCCGGCCTGCACACAGACACTACTTGAAGAGACCGACTGTCATACATTATATGTACTAACGGTAATCCGTCCAAATACGGTAACAGAATCGAAAAAAACATGATTAGTATAAGGGGTTTAGGCTTAGGACAAATAAAAACTTTAAAATCGGTCTTACAGCGAAGTGGAAGGAGAGAAATTAACTTATCAGGAATAATATGAAAGATATAATATTAAAATTGGCAAGTTTATCGTGTCAAGAAAAAGGTGTCTTATCCAATTTTGTTAAGAAAACACAAAAATCTATTATGAGATTGAATACCGTCCATCCTTTGGCCTATTTCGGTTGAGAAAAGGATTACGTAACGCCCACACTCGTAGCTACAGTTCTGGCAAGACAAAACGAAGGATATAACAAAACTAGAACACGGAAAGAAAACAATGGATGGTAAAGTGCGGGAGCGAGTGAGATTGCGATCCGACGACGTCGAGGGAAATCAAGTAAAATACTTTGGACAATTTTGATATTCCCGTGTAACAAAATCGAATACATTTGGAGCAGAATTAAAATGCTCGTCGCGAACTCAATCATATTAATTGCGATTCGAATATCCATTTACGTGACTCGGAATATTTAACAATGGCACTCGAAATGTTTAAAAGAGTTTACTTAAACGAAATAATTTAATCAAAAGTTGAAAAGGATATCTTTAAAGTTGTTTTTCAGTTTTATTTACAACAATGATTACCGAGCAGATAAGTGTTTTGGGATATTTTTTATCTTTTAGTCGTGTTTCTTGTCTTTGATACTTTTCGACCGTTATTTTCATTTGCAATTTCTATAAATAAGAATAATGTAAGTTAATTACTTGTATAAAAAGGACTGATGAGTATAGTAATGGTCTATAGAGCAAGCAGGTCGCCGGCGCGAGCTGGCCTGTGCCTTAATTAGCCTCACCATTCTTTTGCTATTTGACTTTGCAACGGACTGATTCCCTTTCTAATTAGTACAAGATAAATGTTAAAAGCAAATGTTAGATTATTGATTTATGGCTATTAAGCTTAAAATTTGTAAAAATGATAATCTATTCCTCTTTAACTTTTACAAAAAAAATAATAAAAATAGTTTTATCAAACCTACGTGAGTTATGTTAAATGTTTACGGGATTGTTGTAAATCACTTACCAGACCAGACGAGTCCGGTGGTATGATGCTGCTTAACATAGGCCTGAAGGTCAGACAGCAGCTGGACCCAGGCGCGGCACCACTCAACGTGTCTCTTGTCCTTCTCTTTCCACTCCTTGAGGACTCTGTTCGTGTAGAACTGGCCAGCGTCGTTCATCTCTTTGACGTATGGTGCTGGCGTCGGCGACACCGCCACCCAGCCCAGAGCCGGAATACTCTCGGATATCGCTGACAGATGGTTGAAGAACGACGAAACTCGATTCTTCTCCCTGAACTGCTGTATAGCAGATATCTTTTCGCTAGTCGGAGCTAAAAGCTGCATTTCTTCAGCTTGCGATGGTTTGCTTCGAGATTGCGCCAATTGAATGTAGCGAAGCTGGGCTCTGTATAAATAAAAATAAAGTGAAAAATTAACAAAAGGTCTTAGTTAAGTACAGGTAACACAAGTAAAATATAAGAAACCTAGTAATTTAACTAAGCTGAATCGTTAAAATGTTTAATCCTACTGAAATCGCTAACATTTTTCGGTCCTTTGAGCCGGATTAATTTCAAGAATTCTAGCAGTAAAGTGAACACAACATTCATAGATCTGAAAAATGTTGCATTACATAAATAGATTGGTATTTACCAAAGGGAATTGAACTGTCTTTACAAAGTAAAACATACAAAGAGGATCATTGATCCGTAGACTATATGGTAGAGAGCTATTGGCATTGGGACAAATATTTCTATGCGCACGTAATAAAGGCTGCGGATCAATGAACATAGACAATACACTACGAGTAGCGCCCTGGCCTCAAAACACAACGATTATTTTCTTTTAAATTAAGAACATTTAATACATAAAAGAGATTATAAAATCTGATGACGACAAAAATTGAACAACAAAAGTCTACCCTTGACTTTCGGAGATAAAATTAAAACGGTATTGTGCGTCGTGTGAGTGAGGCTTATGACACTTGTGGCGACACTTACTGGAAAGCCTCGTTGACAAGGTTGGCGTGAGTGGCCACATCGCCGCCGATCTGCTGAGACAGCTCCAAGTACGTCCGCAAAGGGCCCTGGCAACAAAATAAATATATTTATAAAAATTTCTTTCACATTACCGATAAGCTTTTGATACTTGACTTTAATATCATCTATAACCTGTAACAATGCTTCTAGTAGACACTTAAAACATTAACTATTTTTTTTGGAATACAATACAAATTATGTTCATCGCACTGTTTTCTTTTTGCCCTTTTGTATCTTGTGTCAATATAACAAGGGCTGTTGATTTATTTGTCAGTACTATTAATCTATTTTATTGGAACTCGTGACGCGCGTTCGGCGCTGTAAATGAATTACGTCCGAGTTACGAGTTTGTTTTCGGCACAATCGAATGATCCGATCGCAACGAATAACCTTTTTATCAGAAGATGAGATGTAAGAGTTATTTTTATTACCACTTCGAAAGTAACATCCATATAATAAAACGTTATTTTTATTGATATGTTGGGTATTTGATGATCGTTTATTTAACAACAATTGCTAACAAATAATAGGTCAAGAGGCAAAACAATGAAATAATTATAATCAATAAATTCTTTTAACTCCACGTATAATTAAATGAAACTACTTTGTGTCTTACACATAAATAAATCAATTATCTCATCTCATCTAACTAATTTAATCATAGTATACTAATTTAGCCACACACACACACACACGCGCGCGCGCACACCTACATACACGCACACACACACACACACACATACCCAAACACATGTATTTGATGAGATATGTACCTAGACTAAGAGAAGGCACTGCCTCCTGTAATACAGGTCCCCACCTAGCTCAGGAGGCAGAGCCCATTCATTATGTTAAACTGATCTTATCAATAAAGTGTTTTTTTTTTATACTAATATTATAAATGCGAAAGTTTAGATGGGTGGATGTTTGTTAGAGTTTGTAGCCTAAACGGCTGAACGGATCTGGATGAAATTTGGCATAGATGTAGAGCAGAGTATGGAAGAAGACATAGACAACTTACTTTTGGTTTTTTTAATATCACGCGGACGAAGTCGTGGGCAACAGCTTCTTAATAAATGTAATGAATATTAATAAAACTTAATGTATTCAGTTGTTATTAATTTAAATCCTTATTAAAAAAAAACTAAAGAAATAATCGCACCGGAAAATGTCTGCACAATACCATTGTTATCCTTCCCAGGTTTACGTTAAAAAGGTTGTATTATTCACCCGTCCTTACTTAAAAGGTCAAAGGGACAAAAGGTTTATCTCAAGATAAATAAAGCCTTTTTAAGGCATTTAATACTCATTGTCAAAGAAATACTCTTGTGATTTACAATTACGGAAATAAAAATACCTTATACAATAATTTTTAATTTTCTATAGAAATTTTTATTTATGTTCATGTTTGAAAAAATCATATATACTTTTTAATTTAGAATGTAAGATGCCTAAAGAGAAAACATTTTCTATTTATCACAATGATAAATATAATATTTAGTTCGCTCGCGCGGGAGTAGATGGGCCCTTTGTGTGTCGTTTATCATGCATTACGGCGGTACAGCCGCCCACAAAAGAATAACATCGCTAACTTTATTATCAAAGCACATTCATTTCAGTTACAGAAAATTTAAACCCAAATTAAGCACTGCGATACCAGATAACTTAGCTTTATTGTGTTCGTTATCAACTTGAATTCAACTAATGATAAAATACCAATTCGTAAATTGACGCATGTATCAAGTTAGGAGTGATCAGAGAACATAGATTTACCTCTGTGAGTTTAATTCGTTTCTCTTTTCATTTACAAAGTCTAAAACATTTTAGACGATACCATCTAAAGTTTCATACCTTCATTCGTCGAATTAATAACAGTAATTATTTAATACAAAGGTTAGAACTTAGATGTAAACTAAAATACCTGTTAATTGATCCTGCGTTAAACTTGATAAGCACATGAAACAACAGCGGTTACCTACATTAACCCTACACAAACTTTATCTACATACCATAATCCTTGTTTATCCCTACCCATTAAAGGTAACTACGAAAGTATTAAGCATATAGTAGGTTAAAGGTAACAAAAAGGTCTATCACGAATATTTGCATGACGGTTGTGAGAACGTATTCGTCATCATTAGTTGGTGTATTTTACGCCCGATAGAGGCGCTACACAAATCTCATACAAATCTTGTCGATGTCGTTACTAAAAAGTTTTCACGAAAGTTCGTGATAACCCTCCGAAGTCTCTAATTTCTTGGACAATCATTTAAAGATTTCATATACTAATGATCTATTTCCCACTAACTTTATAAAATGGAACTTATCAAGATCTAAATGTTAACACATAAAACTTTAACTAGAAAAATGTAAAAGTCGGTAGCATTTTTTGCTTTAGTATTCGAAAAGTAAAATTTATACCCTGAGAAACCGTTGAAATTTCAGTACAAAATTATTCTTAATTTTGCTTTTACCATCGCATCTTTTAAGGTAATGAAGAAAGTTGGGCGCAACAACTTTTGATTAGGCAAGCAAACAGATAAGGTAAATATTGTTCCTGCCTCAGTAATTACTTTAAGTGAATTTCGACTCAGCACATTAAACTCCGAACTCGTCTCGTTAACCTTGTTCTTTAACAAAATTAAAAGTATACTTGGTAGCTGTGAAAATGAGATAAAAAAATGAAACATACCTATAAATATGTACATTCACAGTAGTGAATTCGATTTCAGAAATAATGAAACTTCGTAAATGTAGAGTCTAAAGTATCAACTAAATTATACTTTTGCATTTGATTGAAAATAAACCAAGCAAAAACATTATGAGAGAGATTTTCGAACACTTTTCGAGATTAATGTTTAACATCATTAAAAGCCAATAAAAAAGCCTTCTTACAATTTTTTAGCTTTAGAAAATGTTCTATAAAATTATTTCCGTTAATAAAGCCGGGAGTCCTCGTTACAAATTTAATTTCTTACTTCCCACGTAATAAAGGCACTTAATAAGAATACGAGACGAAGCTAGCGGCAGCATATTGCTCAACCTAACGCTAACAAATTGTACAACGGAGAACTTAGAAATTCATTGAAAATTTCCGGCCATCTTATATTTTAACCTAAGAAGTTGATGTTTTACTTACTAAGTTTTCTTTTAAACCGCTTACCTGCATCAAATCCTGATACCCGTTGACACTCATGCTGTCTTCCACTGGCGTCTCTGGGAGCTCTACTGTTTCCTGTGGCGGCGTTGGTGCCGGAGACTGAGGTGCCGTCGACTGTGGTGCCGGGGACTCAGGTGCCGACGGTTGAGGTGCCGGCGACTGCGGGGGTGTGAGTGGGCGGGAGCGCAGCGCGGGGAGTCGCTCTAGCCGTGAAGTCACACGCTCTAGACGCTCAATAAGAGCCTCGAAATCGGCAGCTGGGTTGCTACCTCCGACTAACTGCTCGCCTTCACTACCTACAACAAAAAAATATGGAAAATCTACTATTAGTCCGTAATAATTTAAAACAAAATTACGATTCTTACTGTAGCAAATTTTCCACCAAATGCGTTACCTCTATCTTTTATTTATACCCGAGCTCATTGCCATGTAGCCCGGTAACCTATCAAAGTAAAACATACTTTTATATGGTAAATTTGCTTTAACTCTCATTCCTACTTAATTGATTTAAGCACATAAATAACATGGCGTATCATTATTGATTCCTTCCTTCCGATTAATATTTAATATGCGTACGATTCATTAATAAACTAAATGCAGAAAATTAATACAAAAAGCAGCTCATTCTCTACAAGTATAATTACGTATCGGATCATTGTAAATACTTCATCTACGGAATTTAACACGTGAAGTATTTATGATGCTTGAGAAAACACGCGTTATTCGTGCGAAACGCGGTTTTACAACACAAAGAGTAAATTTCAGCCTGAGTAAATTTTTTTTCGATTTAATAAAACGACAGCATAGAAATATGTAAACTGCTTCATGGAAATGCTTTACATAAATATGTGTTTAATACACCAGTATTCAAATTTAATAAAAACGAAATGAGCACAGGATTTTTTTCCCATAAAATAGACTGATAATGTTATGCATTTATATCACTTCTTTCGCCATCAATTATTACGAAAAACAACACGATTTTTTTACATCAGTACAAATACCCATCTCACCATTTGCCCTTTCGGATATATCGGTGTCCATTGCCGATTCCTCAGTGCACACATCCTCGATAGTTGTTCGGGCTTCGAACATTCTTATAATATTCCTCATATTTGGGATCTGATCATTATCAGCCATTACTTAACCGGCACAATAATTAATGTTCAGTTCACACACGATCACGACAGAAATAAAATGAAAAATGTTAAAAGATTTTAAACAATGCTGATAGGACGTGCGCTATCATCCGAGATATGGACACGATAAACTGACTAAAACTAATAATATGATAAACATGCCAAAGTATACAATATACGCGTTACGTACGCCTATTCATTGCGACTTCTCAAAAATAACAATTACATCATTTCTCCGTATCGTGACAAACTTTCTAATTACAATACATATTATTACGATTAGACAAATTCGTAGCATTGCAATTAGTATGAGGTAATGTGAAACAGTTTCGTTTTCATTAATACTAAAAAAAACTCGGGCTTATTTGAATGAAAAACTATCACCAAAATCATATTTGAAAATGGCGTAGAAACTATCACACAACATTAACTGGATTTAGTAAAAAGAACTAGCGAGTCTTGTAAAAGTCGTAAAAGAAAACATTTTGTTCAAATTAAAAGTGAGAAGAGAATCCCGTGCGTAAAACAGAATTAGTGTTAAATCTCCGTAGCTTTGTGAGCGTCGACATAATAAAAATGAACAGTAACAGCGTGTCTTCCGCCTCAATATAATTAAACTTTTACAATTTCAAGACGTGAAATTTGCAGATAAATTTATGTCGTTGAAGTGTTTTGCACTTAAACAGTATTTGGTGCAAATTTTACGGCCTAATGTTTTAACGTAAATGAATAAAACTGATGTGTAAACCGAAATCATTTCACACAGAATATCTATAACGGATAATTGTAGTTAGAATATTAATTTTCATATAACTCAGGCAACAAACACGAACTGAATTAGAAGTTCATAAACAACAAAATACTACACAATTGGTAACTTGGACAAGATATAAACTGTAACGTAATTTTGATGGCTGCAAGTAAAACGCTAAACCAACTGAAAAACACTGTAACAACTAATTAAAAGTAGCGGAGTCAAGTTACCGCGCCTTTCCGGTACAATTATCAACAGACGAGTCAATGACTCATTAACGATAAAATAAAATACAGTATCTACATGCGTTTACAATACCTACTAATTGGTATAAAAACATACGAATAGAACCGTAGTAATTGTTATGTTTACACCTTTTTTGAGTTCAAACTGTTACTAGTCTATAACCGATATTATTTGCTCCTGATACTCACACACTTTTAAAATAACACATTTGTACGCAAACATTTCGTCTAATTAAAAATCAAACCTCCAACACAACGACACGTCTAAAACTTTCAATGCAAACAACAAAAATGAACGCTGAAAAGCATATGCAAAGTCATTTCTTCCCACAAACGAAAACTGAAATATGTTAAAAGCATGCAGATGGGTATTGTTAGCTAGTCAACTCGACAGCAGCTGCAGGATATAATTCATATCAAATTTACTTTGTTCATTATATTTTAGGTGTTGAAAAATAAATTAATTTGAACGAACAGGGAAAATATAATACGTTTCAATAATTTAGCGTCGTATTTTAAGTTATTATAGGGAGTTTATGAAACCCCTGTCGGTGTTACGTATCCCGAACCGAGGAAGTTTCAAAGTGGATTAGTTATCAGAGGAGAAACTTATCTACAATACACAGAGGGGTAGGCAGATATTATAACTTACTATTTGAAATTTTTTTGTAAACATAATTTCATTTTTCTATTTTATTTGAAAGGATTTAAGGAAAAATAAACGTTATACGTGATTAATTTCATGTTATAACTTCCTTTACCACACATAACTGTTCTTAACGTTTATGTGTGGGTGATATCTTTGTAGTAACGAGTGCTGATTTTCTCTACCGCAAGACATTATAATATGAATTGGCCACTTCCTATACAGACATGGCATAACCCCACGTCCTGTAAGTTAATACAAGATCTTTTACAAGTACAAAAAATATGTTTTGTAAAGTAAATCTTACTTTACAGTATTCATAAACTATATACTTTTGTTTTTTTCAAAGCATTTTTATTTCTTATTTTTTTTTGAATAGACAGTTCTTGTCTTCTGTAAAAATTTGCTATCGTATTTACATCTATGAGTAACTAAAATATGGAACAAGTAAATAACTATATCAAATTACACATGACTCATAACATCAATTCAATTATTTCATGACATCGATTTAATAAAAGGCAGTAAACATATTAAATACAGAAATAAGACATGCGTTGATATGTAATTACAAAATAACAGTACGTACAATTTACGAGATATGAAAGCCTGCACCGAGGAGAAACCGCAATCCATTCGAGCTAAGCTTACTGTAAACCTGCCCGTCTGCGGTTAATTACTGTGAAAATTCGAATGGCTACCGTGGAAATCAAGCCAAGGTTTTCGTCATTACTGTTTAAACAGTTGTATACAATGCCCACTGTAGTAAAACTATAATCTTAGGTATATAAATTTTAACCAATAAATTGCCTTTATATCATCGCCCTGCACTTGAAAATATATAAAAACTGTATTGAGAGAGATAAATGAATTAACACAGTCGATTTAGTAATGTTTCCGCTGCAAAATTAAATAATAAATATTAAACAAACACAATTACACTGAAACAGAAAATAAGAACTGGCCTTCTTCACTCTCTATTGTAAAGTTTTCAAGGTAATCGATCCACTGACCGCATGAAAATAAAAATTGCGAGCTTTTTAACTTAGCTTGAATATACGCGGGAAAGCACTTTATCTTAGGAAATCGATAATAGAAATTGTAGGCATAGAATGAGAAATAGAAGGCTTTATAGCGTTGGAAAGGAAGCGAACATCAGGAAGTCTTTGTTATAAGGAAATTGACTCACTATAGAAAACGTACAATAAGATGCTCCTGATTAGAATTTTATCAAATATATTCTCAACAATTAACACAATATCAATTAATTATTTGGTAACATTCTATTTTAATATCTATAATAATCAAGTTTGAGCAAACTCCGTTTAGTATACTTAGCCAAAATGGTAAAAATCTTTCATTCTGATAAAAATTAAATGGATATTGCGGTAATAAAATATGTAGCAGTGTGGGAAACCGTCATATCCAAGTTTTGCACGAATATATATAACATTCACTTCCATTTGCAATTTATTCGAGTGTTGGAGTACGCTCGTACTAGTCCTTGACATAGAACCTTTCTCCGATCTTATACCGTATGTATTACCGGGTCAGAGAAGAGTAGAAATTGTAGAAATCTGTTGTAGGCGAAAGTTTGAAACTACATATATCTTGCGGGAATACGATCTGATAAATATATTAATGTCGTCTCACATGTGTGTGGGCTCAATTACGATCTTGCCAGAAATTAAGACCGGAGATCCGATGGTCTTTTTAAGGTTTTCATATAATTTTATTTAGAAAATGTGCTATACTGCTAAGAAACGTTGTCATAAAAATTTAAGATTATTTATGTGATGGAATGCTTAATTACTCGAAGATTCCAAATCAATTTCATATTAAGCCAGTCTTAATTAAATTGATAATTGCGTCTTAAAAATATTAAGCGTAAACAGAAAATCTATTAACACACAAAGTCTGACATTTACTTTGTTAATGATACATTTATTTATACTAGAATGCAATATTTTTTTGAGAATTCCAATTAACTTAGTTACGTTACATCAATAGTCATGTAATTCAAATTTTTAGCAAGTTTCCAAATCATCGCTGATACGTGATAGGGAACCATCTGTTATTCCTTAATTCATAGTTTATTTTACAATGTCTATGATTACCGCCTATTAGCGTTCACTAGTCATATAAGTCACGCTTGACCTGTTTAACTCTCCACCCATATAAAGCTCAAAAGACCAAGCGATCGACCGGATTAAAAAAACAAAACTTTTGCTACGCAAGACAATGTAGTTACGGCACTTGAAAATATTTACAAGTTTCACTATTTCGTATAATGGATACCTGAGATCATCTTCTTATTTGAAGGCAAATAGAACATAGCTACATAAGTAGACCTCTCAACTTGCTCCACTTTTCATACCCTTCAGCTAAACGAGAGACTCGTACATTTTTAACGAGCCTTTTCCAAGAATGTTGTAGAGTACAAGACTTTATTACATACCGCAAAGGTAAGGGAAATTTAATAGTCCTCGACTAATAAATATAAACTGTTACATCGGTTAATGTCTCCATTTTAAATTTCAATTGAAATAATAAATATTAATATTATCAAATATTTTTCGCGTAAATAAACTTATGAATAGTCGAGCGCTCCCGGGCTAGTGGTTTAATATTGTATTTTAGGTTTACAATTTTGTACGCGACAATCCAATAAACAAACCAACAAAAGAGATGATTTTTTTTATTATATCCCATAAGTATCACCTTGATTATGAACTATGACCACAATATAATTTATGAAACCTTTAAGTTGGCATAACTGAGGACGGATATAAACTAAAAAGTGATATTTCATAGCGTGCCTATAAAGCTACCTTCCAGCTATAAAAAGATACGTCATAACATTGCTCTCCAGCTCGTTGTTTTATGTATGTTATTTAAGAAATGGGAATTCTGCCAGCCAGGTCGGGGCGACACAATTCACTAACAAAATTCGAACATTTTGATATCGAAAATGAAATATTCATTACGCGATCCGCAAAATTTGCCAACCAAACTGCACCGGTGAGTCTGCAAATATTATGAGTGCTACAGTTTCAAACTCAATTTGTTCTCGAATTCGAGTTTGTATAACAAAGATATGTCTATTTTACAAAGGAATTTAAATTCCTTGCATTTGTTAACCCTTTATACATAATAGGCTAAGTATGGAGGGGATCAATATTCATGATCCTTAACGTTTTAAATTTCTAAAACACCAATATCTTACACATCAGAAATAAACCTAAATTACAATTCAATATTAACTTCAAAATGTTACTTGTCTATTTCAACGTAACATCTTTACACCATATTTCAGATACAAATTCATTCGTCACAGTACATGTATAATCTCAACTCGACCAACTTGTAATTTGCTAGCATACTAATCTTCAAA